TATATATATATATATATATATCCCTTATACATATAAGAAAAAGTGTGAGGGATTTGAGGCTTGACACCTGTCCTTTTTTAAGACAAAAATGCCCTCCATTTTGGCCTCTTTTACACTGCTACCCCTCAGTTACATTTCCTTCATTACACCTGAAAACATGGCTTTCGCACGTCCCCTTTTCACCATCATTCCCCCTTCTGTCTTTCTATGCCCACGCAATAGGCCACTTTTCCCGTTTTTCTGCACACGCGACATCGAAAGATAATAAGAAGAAAGACTCTCCTCTCAAATTCATCATTCGCTCTCTCTTTTCTTCTTTCTTCTTTTTTTGCCCCAACAAATTTATCCCAATCTTTCCCCTTTTTCTTTCAATCGACAACGGTTGATGGATGCCTAACCCAAACTCCGTACGGCTGGTAGCCCGGCACCGCGAGCGGTGGGGGAAATGGCTCTGGCGCGGGCGAGATGACGTTGTTTGGTGTCAGGTGAAGGACGATCCGATGAGGAAATGGTGCAGATGGTACGCCTCCGCCGATGACGACACGACATAGGAGTCCAACGCGAATCTCAAGTGTGAGCGCAAGAAAGGTAAACTTTGTAAAATTTTAATTTTATTTCATATGTTTTTTTTTTATGATTATAAAGTTTGTTTGTGGATTATGTTACCTGTGTTGTTTCTGATTGTGCAAGATTCATCTTTTGACTATTTTCATTATGCTATCAGACAAATGATGCAAAACTTAGTAGTTCAACAGAGCAGGTAATTTCTTGCCCTCAACACATCCAATTCTCACCGCGTTTGGAGCAGCGGTTCATGGAAACTATATCGAAAGCCAAAAGAAAATACACAGATTTATTTATTTATTTATTTATTTTGGTGCTATTCGCAACCAAGTTCAACAGAGAAAAAGGGGTGGCAACGCTGGCGGATCGAACGGTGTAGGCGACGTCAAGGTCACATACGCAATGAAGTATGACGGAGAGGGTCAGTTGCGGTGGTGGACGTTGCTATTTTGGCGAGGAAGAGGGCGACTCATCGGCTAATTGTAGATTAGGAAGATGGTAACTCTGTCGTCTCTCTCCACCCGGACACC